TGCAGTAGGTAGTATGGGGTGAGCAGTAACATTCCCTGTTGAAAAAGTGGTATTAACCATTTCAAACATTCTTGGATATATTTCACCACTGGGGGAGGGACACTTCCAAGTCAGCCATCAGGGCTTCTGTTCTGCATAATGCTTCTTTGAAGCAGGTGAGTTAAGGAAGGCATGTTAGCAGTTCTGGTTCCTGACACCGGAGGCCAACCCAGAGGTGGAGGGGATCCTGAGGGGCAGCCATGGCCTGCTCATGACAGTAGCCAAGCCTTCCTCACTAGCCCTGATCTGCTTCTAAAAGCAAGACAGTATAACCTGCAGGTCTTCACAGGAGATTTTTCTCCCATTTATTTTGGATCAGTTCACTGGTAGAAACGCAGCAAAAAAACACTGAGTGAAGAAGACTTAGATATACAAATTTCTGGATGCGTATAAGTGCTCTTTTCTGCCTAAAACCTAAAGAAAAAAATATTCTTCTGATCAACTCCAGTTTTAGGCTGAAATAATCAAGTTCACTAATTCTGTGAAATTGTTCATGACACTGAAATAACCTGACAACTTTGCTCAAGTGTTCTCTCCTCATCACTTCTGAGTCCTGTCATTACGTAGAGGGGTAACTTTCTCAAACAAAGAAGGGTTAAAGGAAAAAAGGAGAGAGAGAATGAAAGAAATACTTGCTATAATAAACTTTCTAGTAATTATGGGAAACTTCACAGAAACTCAACCAAGCAAGTGTCCATAGGAAAGGGAGGGGGCATAAGGAATTTCATACAGCCTAACCAAGGTCACCCTGCTGGAATGTTTTTTTCTTCAGAATGCTCTGTGTTCATTTCAGATTAACTGCATATTCTCATCATTTCAGCACATCATACCTTGTTAATCTGAAATGGCCTTTCTGTGGTTCTCTCTTTGTTGAACTGCTTTTCCCAGTTGCCTTTGAAATAGATGGCATTCACCAACACAAGTCTGGTCAGGGAATCAAGAATCCCCTCCGCCAACAGGTTCTGAATTTTACCTTTATGATACAGATAAACAACATTTAAGAGTCGGACACATATCTAATTATTATCCAGTAAACTATCGACTCTGCAATTAATACACAATAGAGAAGAGAATTATGTACCACACAGAGCAGGAGCTCAACAGTTGGGTTGTTTTAATCCACAACCTTATATCCTGAAATAGCTGTTTACCCAAGCCATGGCCACCATGAAATACAACAGGGCACTTTGCAAAGCACTCACCTTCAGTCCTTTCCTCTACCCAGCCATTGATTTGTTTTCTGGAATCCTCCCAAGCATTCATGAAGTCAGTCGGTTCCAGCCCAGCGTGGTAGGATTCCTGACTCAACTCTATAAATGACTAACAGGGACATGCACAACTGGTTTGCAGCAATAGATTTGACTCTCATTCAGACACGCAGCATTCTTAAATACACCAAGAAATTCTGCCGACTTTCCTCCACCAGCTTCACATAGAACAATTAAAGTTCTGACTGACACTTATAAGATTTATACAAACTATTTGAACTAGGAATTGTCCCCTGTAGGGTTTTAAGTCAAATGGCTTATTTACTGTGCTACAAACCTCTATGTAACTTCACCGACAAATGAAGTGGCTGGTGTTTTCGTGGGTTTTTCTTCATGGTTCAGTGAGAGAACATAGGACTTTGTAAGCTACTCTCTACATAAATTTAATTGTTACACTTCCCAGACAAATGGAAAACTTTTAGTTCAGTTGGGAAATTAATCTTTCATAGAGAGGGTAAAACATCCCTTCTATCTGATTTAATACACTTACATCTTTATTACACAGAGGCAATGTTTGACACTAGAGTTCGGGTAGTTTTTATCTACTAGACAAATGAAACAATAGCACTCTTCATAAAAGAAACAGTGGAAATGACACACAGAGGAAAAAAAAGAGAGCCTTACATGTTCTTGCACCTAGGGAAGCATTGAAAGAAACATGTATAACACAATATCTATTATCCTCATTTAGATCTTCTGATAAGGAAAATCTTAAAAGTCCTGTGTTATTCTCACAATGATATCTGGATCACTTACCTAGGAGACAAAAACTACAAAATACTGCCCATGCTGAAGAGCAGGAACAATTCTTTTTTTTGGTCAGATTTCCACACAATGAAGGAAAAAGAAATACATCAAACGTGTCCCACAGCCAAAAGTGTTAGTGGATCACAGAACCCTGGAGATGTAGAGACTGATGGATTTTACCCAACTTTGCAGCATTCAGGGTATCTGAAAGGAGATTCTCCACCAAGTTCAGATACCAGGCTCTGGGATCATCTATTGTATTGCTAATCCTCAGCTCAGAAAATTTGGAAACCAGAGCCCAAAGCCTGTCTTTGACCGCCAAACGAAATAGGTAGCAAGTATATTTTACTAGAAATGCCACACATTTAATGGTCACTTACTGAGAGAAACTCAAACGTCTTTTCCCCATAAAGCTGGTTTGCAGTTCTCAGGATGTATTTGGTGTTTGGATCGTTAATTTCAGAGAGAAGGGATTGATACCCATTGTGAGCATCCTCAGCTTTGTTCAGAGAAAGCACCTGCACAAAGACATACATCCTCAACAGGGGCCATGCCTTCTCTAAACACATCTGCTTCAGCACAATGACTTTTAGTTTTAAATGACTTTTAGGTTAAACACTGTTGACTTGAAGCCAAAAGATTTTTCATCACACCTCCCCTCTGGAGCTTATCGTACAAGGCACATTAGATGCACCCAGCCAGATGTTGTGAAAGTAATAAATTAGGAAGCACAAGACTCAGCAATACTGATTTTCCTTCCATCAAGCCAAGCACTGGAGGATCACAGAATGGCTGAGGTGGGAAGGGATCTCAAGACACCAGGGTACAACAACCTGCCCAAGCAGGGACATCTACAGCCAGCAGCTCAGGACTGTGTCCAGATGGACTTTGAATAACAACAGTATGACAAAAATATGATTTTGGAGTAAATTTAATAGATTTAAATGGTAGCAAAACAGGATATATTCCTCTTCCACTTTGCAAAAAGGGCAAACATCATAACACAAATGATTGACTGTTCATTTCATGCTGTCATTGGCATATTGTTAAACATGTGCCAAGAGGTATTTACAAACTGAGCGAGATTTAAAAAAAAACTAAACCAAGGTGCAGCTACCACTTTGACATGCAGACAGCATGGATTTCTTTGTTTTATGTGCCTGGATTCATTTTGAAAACATGTATCATCTGATATTAAGTGCAAACAAGAAAACAGAAGAAAATATTACACATAGCTAGAGATTTATCCAACCAACAAATAAAACCTCAGATACCTCTGAATTAAATATGGAAAGGAGATCTGTCTGCGTGGAATAGATCAAAAAAACCTGCACACAAAAAAACCCTGAAACCTTTAAATTTCTACTGAACAAAGCTTCCCCTATAAAAGCAATGAAAACAGGTTGTCCTTACACACACACACCCCTCCCAAAGGAAGATCTATGCTCTCTCAAACCAGGATGACAACCCTAGTTTAGCAGAAGTGCATGCCACAGACTATAAGACATGTCTGTTGATCAAATTCAATCCACTAAGTTTATTTTCACCTACCTTTGTTATTTGGGCTTCGGTGTTACCTCTTGAACCCAGCAAAATCATAGACAAAGCAGAAGAAATACTAAGAGGGGAAAAGAATAAATTCTGACCACTTTTCTTCTCACACAGCTTTCTTAAGAGGTCCAGGGCAAAAGTGGTATTCGCTGCACACAGGCTTTCCATGGTTTCGAACCTGGCAGATAAAACACAGAACAAGAATGGATCAAATTTATTTGAACACAAAAAAGCTGTTTCTGTCTTTCACATTTCCCAACATAAACTAGTCAGCAAATGTCATCGTTAGGCTGGAAAATTATCACCTCACTGCAGTAATGATTTGGTGGCACAAGCACCTTAAACCCCATACAACTCACTTGACTTATTTTAGGGATTTACTGTCTGCTTTTGTATTTCAATCCCATACCTACGTAATATTACATCTTTTGAGATGATCAGGCACAACAGGATTTCGATCAGAACTCACTGAAAGAAAGCTCTCTTGAATTCACAAAGAAAATAATTTGCCTTTATACAAACACCAGACCAAAAAGTTGGACATCAGAATGGCCAAATTACAAACTCTTACCTTCTCTAAGTCTACAGATCTTCAGTAGTACCTTCGGCTTACTCCTCCGTGTGCACGCTGTGTTTTAAACAGCTGGGTTGGGAGAAGTCAGCAGAATGACTTGTCCTACAAGAAAAAAAACCATTGTCACTGGAACATTCTTTTACAAATCAAAACAAAAAAACCCCAGTAACATTGAAATACCATATTTTTCCCCCCACATAAACTATACATCCCAATCCTACTTATCAGACTCAGTTAATGGCATTATTTAAAAGAATTCCTTGCCTTCTAACTTGAAATTGGAAGCACGTGTACTGGCAGGTCTGCAGGTTAAAGCTGTTCAGCTTCCCAAGCCCAGCACACCCCACACATCTCACTCCTCCAGCTTTCCCCCTGCTTCTTACAGCAGAACCGTCGAATTTGGCTGCATCCTTTCAGACCATTTCAAACTCCTACGTGGAGGCGTTTGCACCAGAATGTGGGAATTTCCAGGACAGTCTTCCTACAGCAATTGCAAAATATCATTGTCGGCTTCCTCCGACAGAGGGATAACCGCCCGGCAGCTTTGCAATCTTCTTCTATCAAAAAAACCCCACCGCCACCCTCCCGCCCCCAAATCCAAACCAATACCCTAAAGCGCACTTTGATTTACTTACACCACCCGAGCAAACCTTGCACCCAAACCATCCAGTTCACGACCTCCACCTCACGCTGCCCGAGAACCGCCCCGATTTTGCGAGAAGACGAAATCAATTTCCGCATTTCTTCTCGTTACCGCCCCGTTCCCCGAGGATGCCCCGGGGCGGGGGTAGGGGCGGAGACTTGGGGAGGGCTGCGGAACCCCGGAGCAGCCGAGGTCACTTGCCCGCATCCCTGCCCGGCCGGCGGGAGCGGCGACAACCGCGGAGACACCGCCCGGGTGGGGCGGGGAACGAGGGGTGGGGCGGGGCCGCAGAACCCAGGTGTGCTCTGTCGAGAATCCTTCTCTTCGTACGACAGATTCAAAAATGTATGTATAATTTACGGTTAAAAAAAGGAACAGAGTCCCACAGCGCTCGTGGTTTTTTTATTATTTCAGGAACAGGAACTGCAAAACACAAACACATCCCTGTGTTAAGAAAGGTGTTTCAGCTGTGTCTTTGGCATTATACGGTTCAGCTACGATGTTTAAGAAACTCTGAATAGGATAAATACATAATGATAGCAAAAACGTTCAAGCTTTGTCATTCAAATATTGCATAGGCACCGTATGCTCTTTTGTTACATTCTTTGTTAAAGGACTAGAACCAGGAGGCAGGTAATAAACCCAGGAGTCCTGTGGTGATGAAACAAAGGTTCTCACCCCCTAAGGACATCTGGTACAAAAACATACTTTCATTCCCATTCCTGCTTAAGTCCTTGTCCAGTTATTAGACAAAAAACCATCTAGGCAGGGTGCTCAGCAACACCTGGAACAGGCTGCCAAAGACTCCTTTCAGCTCTAGGGAATGGATCAAGGCACTGAATGGATGAGCCTGGAAGAAGAAAGGGGAGTGCAGCTAAAAACATGTTCCAGCCTTGCCAGAAGCAAAAGTAACTTCTGCTCTCCCATGGGCTGTCAGTGCCTGACTCTGCCTCATGGATGCTAAAAGTCAAGTCAAGGAAAGGAGAAGCCTTCACTGAGCAAGTGGGTGTTACTTCTGTCAGCAAGAACCTCTGCACACAGGTGCACAGGGAGAGAGGGGTTTTACATGGCACTTGCTGTGGAGCTCTAAGCAGCTCTGTTATTCTTGCCAAGCCCCAGATCAAGACCACAGAAGAGGGTCCAGGCTCAGCTCCAAGAGGCAATTAGTGCAAAAGGGGTCACCCTATTCTAGAGAAATCTTTATTGTGTAAGGGCCCCTATCCTGCCAAGACATCTCCTCTTTAGGGAGAGCAAAACCTGCCACAGAACAAAATGCTGGAAGATTTGTTGTGCCGGATGAAGAAGAGGAAGGGATGATCAGCAGTGAAATCCGGAACGATCATTGCACAGCGCATCATCATTATTGCAGCTGTGGCAGCAGCTGCTTCAGTGCCTTCTTCATTGACTTCCACAAAGGACTTGTGAACCACTTCGGAGAGCACCAGCTCATTGCCAGATGACATTCCCGAGAAGTCTGCCTTCCCCACGTCAAATGCATCAGGCATTCCCATGCTGCTCAGAATGGGTTTCAGATCATAATTTTCTTCCAGCTTAAATCTGGGTAAAGACACC